ACTTACAAGACAAGAAACAAATCTGTCAGCTATAGCAGAGAGGCTTCTTATTACTGTTGCAGCTCGTGGTGCTGATTTTATTTTCTGGTCATAGATAACATTTTTCATTCCTGCCATGTTGTTTCTGCCTCAGCGTCCATAGACGACTGAGTCTAATGCATAGGAAATGAAGAGCGAATACGGGGTTTACTCTGTGCCTTTCAAATCAACAGACCTTGTCATATTTGTAATGGAACTTTTCTTTTTATACATTTTATTTACTTTTGTTTTATTGCTGCATCCATAAAAGCAGAATCAAAGTCCCGCTGCTTGCCTCTGCCTCTGTTCTGCAAGTCCAAAGTGAGAGAGGGGGGAATTGTAATTTCCGAGGCAAATGGCTAGATTGACACCAGATATGTTTGGTGAACTGCTGCAAAAGGTCATGCCAAAGAGGGACTCCAAATGTCAGACGGCCGTCTCTGAAGTTTGAGCCTTTGTGAGATCTGATGGATTGATATTCTTTCCCAGACTCTGAAAATGTCATTACTGATGTTTTGATGCAGAAAGTGCGTTTGTTTATCTGATGATTGGTAATAGGGCTTGCACGGACGGCCGAGGAAGACATCGGGTTTAATGATGTGAACTTCTGATGTGTGTGTCTTTTGTTGTGTAATGTTGGGTGGGAGTGTTATTTAGAGTAAATACCCCTGACCTTTCTTGCCCTTGGTGCCCTTTCAAACCAAAAAAAAATAAAAAATCGAATTTCTAACAGTGAAAACCACCTGAGGCACCGAGAACCAAAGAGGGAATATTAACACTTTGGAGGGCATTTATTCCGTAGTAAATGTCACTATTTGCATGCAAGTGGGTCTCCAAGGTAAGCGTCTGCTCGTAGAGGAACACTCTTTTTCAGTTTTCACTTTCAATATGCTAAATCGTTTTTGTTTTTGCCCGTTTTTTAAAGTTGAAGGGGCTTTTTTATGTAACTGGGTCAAGATTCAGTCACTCATAAGCTAAAATGACTCAACATTGTTAAAATATGTGCTACAAATTAAATGCCAGTTTAAAATCATGATGACATCATACTGCAAGGAGGCCATTCAAACGACCTTAAATCAGGGCATTGCAGCCAGTAAACGAAAGTGCTTGAAATGCAGATCTGCAGTTTTTTAGAATTGAAGGATTTTTTTTTTTGTCATCAAATCACAAAAAAAAACCTTCCTATAAAAAAAAAAACCTTCCTATAAAAAAAAACAAAACTGAATAAACCATGAGTCATTCTCGGGGAACTGAGGTCATGTTAAAGGCCAACCAGAGTATTATTATTGAAGTAAAAATGTTGACACTGAAGTGCACTTAGAGAGCATGAAAATCTTCACCAAGGCCAACAGCTCACTCTTAGTATTAAAAGCAAACCTGAAAGGAAGACCAATAAATATTAATCTTAATAAAACATATTAAGAAAGGTTTTGTTCTTTTTCGACCTGGAGAGGCAAGGCCAAAGGTCCTAACCATAGACTGTAAATATGAACGGACGAAGCCTGAGTGATGTCAGCCGTCTGTTCCTGCAGGGGGCTCTGGAGGCTCGTTGGCAGCAGCCGCCATGTTGGAAATGCTGTCTCAGTCTAACTTTCAGTCAACCTAATGACAGGCTGAGAGCTGGAGCTGAGGCGGGTTTTAAGCCTCTTTACAAACCGTTCCATTGCGGCCACCTGTCAATCATGTCAACTCGTATGGATAACACGTATGGTACCCCCCCCACCCCCCACAGTGTGTGCCTGTGATGACAATAACTAATCAGACCTATTTGTTTTTTGTACCAGTCTGTAAACATTTTCATTTATGCTGTAAAAACGTCTTTTTGCCTGTTGTGTGTATGTGACTTATGGTGTTCCTGCAACCAGCCTCTAGTGGACACTCGGCGAACTGCAGGATTCCGCTTGGTCCTAGCCCCATGGGGGGTCTACAGGGGGTGCTGAAAGGTACTTGGAAACATGGAGGGACGAGGGGTGGGATGAAACAATAATAAAGATCCACCAACGACATTAATCCTAAAAATGAAAGGAGTCACAGGAGTGAATACCAGCAGAAGAATATTGTAGGGGGTTTTGGCTTTTTTTTGGGAGGGGGGCGCTACCCACATGGACGATCCTTATCAGTTATACCTCGTTGTAAAGGTGACTAGTCAGGCTTTCCAACGATATAAAACACAACACCAATAAGTATTATTAAAGGGGTGAAATAAGTGACCGATAAACGTTTCTAAACTTTTTTTCAGGAGTTTATTTATTTCAAACAAAAAGGCAGAAGGCAAACAAAAACTTACTTTCTAACAAAATAGAGCCACAAGGTCAAACACTGATAAGCACAGGTAAGTAGCAAGACACTGGGAAACAACTGCCATGGAGCAACAATGAACTGACAACAAGAGGGAAGGAACGCTGAGACAAAATAGACACAGGCGAGACTAATGTCACAAGTGAAGACAATCAGGGAACTCAAGGCTGGAGGGAAACACTCAGACAGGAATTAACACAAGAAACACTGAGGAGCAGAACTACAATATAATCAGGAAACACTGAAGAAACACACAGAACTCAAGAATGTTACAACAACAATACACACTAGAACACAGAGAAACACAAGGATAAACCATTACAAAACAGGAAACGCTTAAAGGGAAACAAGCAACACCAAGAAAAACTAAAACAAGAATCTAAACTCTGAAAAAACCAAACCAAACCATGACGTAAGTCTTACAAAGCAGAGGAAAATGCTCCGTTTCAGATCAGCTCTCCTTGTGACATCACAGTGGGATTCTGGTAGAAAAAAAAAAACCCTCACCTCCCCTGGTATATCTCCACCCATAGACTCCGCCCCCAGCCTAGAGCAAAACCAAATTCTGGAGACGATTACCAACCCATGCCTTTAAGAGTCGAGTTTATCCCACTGCAAAAAAAAAAAAAACCTTGAACAAGTTGCTCACTTCTACCTGTGACTATTGCCAACGCTGCTCGTAAATCAGAGTCATCGACAGGATCACACTCCCGTGGATATTTTTAATTGGGTAAACATCAGTTCAATAAGGTATTAAATGGTGCCTCTGACACTTATTAAACTATAACACAGACATCTGATTTTGGTAGCACTTTGGTTATAATGAGTTCATTAAACATTTATTTGGCTGCGAGAACTACAAAAAAAAGTTGTGTTGAACTCGGACACCCTGCAGAGGGGGAACTCTGCACGGGTTCTTTGAATGATAGAAACAGCGGGGGGGGGGGGAGAGACGTTAAGTGTGAGCGCTCTCTGATTGGAGGGTGATTTTCAAGGTTTCTCCCGCCTTAGACGAGGAATAAACAAAACACCGCTCAAATACCTCTTCTACTCCCGACTGTCTTTTGTTTTGACTTTTTCTTCTTCCTCTGTGCTGATGTATTGGTTTTGTCAGATGCGCATCGGGGGAAGGAAATCGTTTTGTGCTTCAAGTAGAAATGAAAGAGTTCAGTGGAGATGAATTCAGCAAACAGGTGAGAAACAGTTCCTGTTTGCGAGGAGAAGTCGTAAGAGTATATGTCTTCATAATAGCTTATACAAAAAGAGGTGTTAGTGAAGGTAAAAAACTCAGACTTTTCCTAACTAGCAAAAAGGTTGAGTCGTAAAACGAGAATGTTATGAAGCGAGAAATGAACTCAGCAGTGCTCACACATCTTGGTCAGTTGCAGTACTTGAAAGTTTCAACCTTTCCTCCTCCGCTTCCTCCTTCTTCTGCTCCTCTTGCACTTCTCCTTCTAAGTGGTGTCCAATCATTAGCTGATATATCAGCACACCCACCGCTGCACCCAAGAAGGGGGCACAGGCGGGCACAAAGAACCAGTAGGAGTTCGCTCTGCAAGAAGAATAAATTGAAAAACTGTGATGCATGGTGTGGTTTTTTAAAAATTGTTCATTCAATTTACTCACTGTAGCAGGCCTGAATAAAATATGAGTGCATATCAGAGGCTATTGATGTTGTGGGTCAGAAGGCATGCGAAGCCGTGTCGATATCAAGGCACTCTAATTTCAATATGTTTAAATGGGCACTCAAAAACACACAAACAATAGAAATGCAAATAAACTGGCGGCAGAATATGCACTTTAATTATTATTTTTTTGGTGGCCGCCTGTTTTCTCTAACTGGAGAGATATCTGACAGAAGTAGGAGCGCCGCTTCTCTGGGCGCTGATGGCCTAGTGGTTGGATGGCGCCCAAGGGAGGAGGTTTTTTCCTCCAAGAGGCAGCTCCAGTTCGAATCCAACTTGTGGCTCATTTCCCTGCATGTCATTGCCCCCTCTCTCTCTCCCTGATTTCTGACTCTATCCACTGTCCTTTCTCTGAATAAAGGCGGAGTACCTGGATGTCGCATTATTTCATAGCTGATGTGGTTTACACTCCGCTTACCAAATAAGGGAATGGTTGGCTGTGGAAAGGCAAACAAGATCAGGGTTTACCGTACCGAAATGAACCAAACCGGACCGCTTGGTGGAAACGGGGCTTAAATGACGTCTCCCACTCGTGTCTCAAGAGGCCAAAGATGAAGGTGGCCTGTTTTGAAGTTAAGGTTGCCAGTGTTTCGTCTGTGTGGAGGAACCTTTTTAACAAGTTTTTCATCTTTTCTATTTGTATTAATGTGGTTCCTTTTTGTAAATTACGACGTTAGTTTGATTCTTTCACGCACAAAAATCTTGTCGTGTCTATGAAACAAATGAAGGTGAAGGGTTTTAACTTTAATGTTGTGAGTGAAACAACATCCGGCCTCCGGGATTATAGTTCTACATCTTTAACCCCTCCATGGTTCAATTGGGAATAATTGGTCCATTCCACTGTTTTCAACCCCTTTCAAGTATGACCTCTAGACCAATTATATGAACTCTTTAGAGGTATACCTACCATCAGGGACTGAGGAAACCCTGACCTAAACGTCCCCCATTTAAGGACAGTTCACCATCATCATGGGTTTAAAAAATAAAATCATCTGGTACTCACGTAAAAACCTCTCCACCCCAGCCTGCCATAGCTGTGAAGATGCGCGGTCCAAGGTCTCTGGCTGGATTCACAGCATAGCCAGAGTTGAAGCCCATTGACAGGCCGATGACCAGCACAACAAAGCCTACAGTGAACGCCTCCAGACCTTTGGGAGTTGGATTGTTGTGTGGATCAACTATGGCCAGGATGCAGACGATCAATGCAGCTGTTCCAATAACCTGAGATAAAAGTCCAAAAATAAGAAATCAAGAAGAAGAAATCCATAAATAGTATCAATTTTCTTTGATCCCTTAATCCTTTTATTAAAGGAGCAGTATGTAACTATGACACCTAGTGGTTAAAATAAGTACTGCAGTCTACATTCTAAACATTGTAGAGAGCTGTCTCCCCCCCGCCCCCTCCTCTCTAGAGTCGATGCTCACTCAGGTCACCATGTGGTGGACTCTGAAGCTTCAGTGTTTATCCAGCTCTGCATGGGTCTGTAAACCTTTCTGTGTTCTAACCTCTCTCCATTTTTCAAAAGCATCTCCAATATTGATCCTAGTTTGAGCACGTTTCTGCTCGTGGAGCTTATTAGAAACATGCAGAGGCTTTTTAGGTCGGGTACAATCACTTCTATCTGAACCACTTCTCTTGCCTGCTTCCATCACTGCAACACCTGTTGACCTGATAACTGCTCTCATATCTGGGAAACCGAGGGGCGTCCAAAACGGCCGTGTGTGGGTGGTCGCCTTAAAAGTGCCTACCTTCTCTGGTCCAAACAAATCCAGAGCATTCAGGAGCAGAATCTAAAGTTAGAAGGAGGACATACTGGCTGCTGCATTGTTGTCAGAGAAGCCAGCACTTCAACATAGCATGTTTCCTTAACGTCTGATCATACAGTAAGGTACCTTTATCATTTCCCTCACTCCAGTAGTCATTTTGTTCCATTAACAATGAACCAATATGTTTTCAAATTATGCACAAAAATAAAAAATAATCATTCTCAATCTCTCCATGGAGAGAACTAAATAAATCAGTGTTATCATCCGTGTGGTGTTTAATGAATCACCTTGGATGAAACATTGACGAGATGTCAAACTCAGAAAAACATGAGAAAAAGGGATTAACAGGAAACCTTGCAGACATGTCACCTATTTCATCAGAAAGCTTCATCCTCAGCAGATTGGTTTGTTAAATTAATTGATGGAAGAAGCAGCACATGTAGAGCTCGGTGGTTTCTTCAGTTGGCACGTTGCATCTTTGGTACAACAACTTTAACAGATCAGGGTAGCAGCAGATGTGGTAAAGATGCATGTCAGCATGTAACAGCATCGTGTCTGTGGAATGGTACCTACAAACGGCAGGTGTGTGGTCTCACGGTCTGGCTGAATCTTCTGGTCGGCACGTTTGGAAAATGAAATGTTCAAAATCTGTTGAAACCGTCCTCATGTCTGTGGTCTCCCACGTTGTTAAGTAAATTGGTAGGATTTGAAAATAGTGTGTAGCCAGGCTAAAACAGGCTATCAGACATTTCCATGCTCTGCAGCACGCACTGAAGACTCTGCCAGTAATCTCAGTGACGTCCATTGTAGGGAAAAAAGTTCTTTGCGAGATAAATATGTGCAGAACAAAGGCAGCATGAGTACGTGTCTTGCATCCGCAGTGTCCAGGCTTTTTTCATGCACGGCGCATCTTTTTTTTTCCACGCACAGTGTATCTTCATTAATTATTTGAATCTTCCGACACAGCTGGGTCTAATTGACCTTGCCTTCTTTCCACACTCACAAGCTGTTTCCACACCGATTCTGGACGATCACATCAAATGAATAGTGACACTGTCCTGCTCATTACACTGTCTGCTGCGTTTTAAAAAAAAAAGGTGAAAGACGACTAGAGGAGGCCGTGAGATGTGACTGTTTAAGAGGCCTGAAGTTGATCAACAGATTTACAAAGAAACAACCAAGTAATAGCAATGCAACAGCACACTTTGTCTGCGGTTGGACATGACTCAGTTATGTCTTGATTTGGTTTGCAATCTTTAGCGGACATGTGTAACTGTGATCTTAAGCATCTCTTTAAATTATAAAGAAAAAGTGAAAATTGAGGCTGCTGAACAACTCCGACAAAGGAGGCTGATGGAAAATGGCCGTCACTTGTGTGCCACACTTCTTGTGCTGTACTTAAGCTGCAGTGGTTTTCCTGAGAGGGGGAGAACTGATCGAAACCATTTTCACTTGCTCGCTCACTCACTCACCCCTTAGAGTTGAAATACTTGAAAAATCAAATGGTATTGTGAAAGTTTGCTTCAAGATAATTGGAGCCCTTGCAAAAGGAGACTTGAGCTCCCTCTGTGAGAAACAGGTGACCCAGAAAGAGAAAGAAACTCTCAGCCGCTCCGACCGTGTACAGTCCAGTGATTTCACTGTAATGCTCTCAGTGCCTCTTTTTTCTCTTAGTGCTTCTGCTTACTGGCTCCTAATACAGATAAATGATTATGTTCATACTTGTACATTCATATAAACTACAATATTTTGTGTGTGTTCTGCGGCGTGTTTATTTCAGTATTGAGGAATGTATGTTGATATTCTAACTTGTAAAACTTATAAAATCTCCTCCTCTCTGGGTTTTTCGATTACAGATTGAACTCTGTAGAAGGACAACCTGTCGGATAGTGCATCCAATTAAACAAAAACTACATAATAAAACTACTTATAACCAGAGGTGCTGCTGGTCAGTAGCCATGCAGGCAATTGCTTGGGGGCCCCAGGCCAGTAGGGGGCCCCCCTGAGGGCTGACAAATTCTGCAATGACAGTAGGAAACCTCCCTCAGGGGGGGAGGCCCCATCTGACAGCACTCACTCGCCTTGTGAGAGTAGAACGCATTGTTTCTGTGAAAACCGAAGTTTGTCACCAAGTCTGGGAGTGAAAAAGAGAGAAAGAGGAGGGGCGCTGTTGGTAGTGCGCACGCCCCATGTAAGGGGGCTGTAGTCCTCCAAGCGGGCGGCCCAGGTTCAGGTTCAGGTTCGAATCCAACCTGTTGCATGTCATTCCCCACTCTCTCTCTCTCTCCCTGATTTCCGACTCTATCCACTGTCATATCTCTCAGCTTAAGGCACTAAAGCCAAAAAGCCCCCCCCCCCCAAAAAAAAAAAAGAAAGAAAGAGAAAGGAGGAGTAAACATCAGGTAGGCAGACATCATGGTGATGAACGCTGGTTTGAGAAGCCCCCAGTTAATCATTGCCTGGAGTCCAAATTGCCACTTCCTGTAACAAATAGGAAGCAACTGAAACCGGTGATGTCATTGTGGCATTCAGGATTTCATATCAACAAGTGTGTGACGTCCTCATCAGCAGGTAGCTTGTAGGTTGTGTTCTTTAAAACTTGCATACAATCCAAGTTTTTGCAACCAGTGCTGTTGCCCCCTGCTGGCCTTAAGAGTAACTGCAGGTTCAGGGCAGTTCTGCATAAGCTTCACTTTTTTAAACCAGCAGGATTTCAAAGGTATGGACCTGGTAAGTTGCAAATGCTTTTGGGACAAATCATGTTGTCTGTAGCTAAAATTGAATTAAAGTTACCTGATCGAGGACTCCGTTAACCACGCTGAGATGTTGTGATGGATACGTGGCAAAAATTCCGGCTGTAGCGTTTTCCCCCACCACGATCAGCTCGCCCTGGCTGAAGTCCAGCAACGCATCTAGTGGAAGAATTCACAAAGTCCCTCTTAGTTCATAGAATCCATGTATATTTTTAAAGCATTAAAACGTGTGATGAGCTTAATTGTTTTCATACCGCAGCTCCTGGGTCGAAAGGAACCCGCATCAATCACTTAGACGGATTAAGCTGCTGCCACACCGCATTACAGCTAACATTCAAATCAGATGACATTACTTAAGATACCTGTAGACTTAAGGTTCAATTGGTGTGATGATTTATGTTGCAGAGATAAAGCTGACAGCTCCTGCAAACAGTAATACACTTGACATTTGGGCCTCCTGTTTACTTTCTGCTTGATTACATAGCTGCAGGCGGCAGCGAGCGGAGGCCGGGGATGCACTTACATGTAGAGAGATACCGCCGAAAACATGCATGAACGATAATGACACGAGTATAGAGAGAGAGGGGAAAAACAACGTGAATAAGTATATGGCTGCAGAGAGCACGGCATGACATAACCATGAAGACAGGAATACATGCATCTCTGTTCATGTGCTCATCAGGAAAAACACAAAGACAAATCAGTCTCCAGTATTTCCAATGAGAAAATGTGTTATCCACAATAAATGGAAGTTCTTTTTATCATTTATTGTTGAACCACTGGAACTAAGGATGGTGAACACCTCGGGTCAGCTTGCATTTATCGTCTAGATTTGATACACAAATTTGATCTTCTATTGCTGCTTCAAAACTAGGCTTCAAATTAAGGTTATAGCATTTAGCTTTATTTGTTAATTAATCTCTTGCAGAAGAGACTCCGAGTATCACCAACGTCTTGATTAGTCAAAGGATCAGAGAAGTGGGACTTAGAGCAACTGTCATGTATAGCAAGAATGTTTCAATTCATTTGAATTATGCTTCCCCCTGCTGGTCATTTGAGATCATTTAATTTTTGCTCTTTATTTTTCACTGTATTTTCTAAGGGGCTTCATTCATTTTCCATGTGGTCGGCCTGCAGCACAAGCCAGCTTTTTCTTGGAAAGCATCCCTTGTAAGTTTATTCGCAAGAACAGATCTTTATATCTATACATACAAACTATTTGATATATTTGATGCATTTTGTATTGTTTAAAGACAGATCATTTACAAGCTAAAAATGCTAATGTTTAAGATAGCATCCTTTAATTGGTTCTTGTTTTATTTTGTATTTTTCAGTTTTACAATGAAAGAAGCTTCATGAATATGACGACAACAGTAAAGCATTTTGAATTTACTCCAGCCTCTCATTTCCGAAGTCTGTTTGCTATCTGTCAATTTGTGTACAGACGCACATTGAGGACAGAATAGCAACATATTAATCACTCTGATTATTCCACAAGTTAAGTTGGTCATAGCCATGAGGTCATTGTTGTCTGTTGTCTCCATTCAGAGTCAGCAGGATGGTGAAATAATGGAATTTCAAAGATGCGATTAATCGAGATAAAATATTGAAATTCAGCAGTTAATCACTGTCTAAAAAACGGGTTATAAAGAAGCTAGACTTCTATCTGTGAAGCTTCATCTACATATCAGAAATAAACAGGTTAACATGTTTCAACTTATTTCAAAGCGACTAAGACTCAGCATGAAGCCGATAAACAAAAAGGAGCTCTAGGCCACGACTCACCTGATTTATATTTTTAGTTTCACGTACCTGAATAAAGGCCGAACACGACCGCTGCACCCAGAAACGCTCCGAGGGTCTGAAAGAAAAAGTACAAGGGGAAGTTCCTCCAGGGCTCCCTCCTGAGTAAACACAGAGCGAAGGTCACCGCCGGGTTCAGATGACCGCCTGAAGAGAGAGAAAAAAAACATGACAACCTCGGTCAGTTTTACACATATAGAGGGATAAAAAAACAAAAAAACCTCACTGCTCTGTCGGACTCCTCCTCTTCTACATGAGACAGAGGTTTCTAAGCTTATATAGTCAGTAATTGTGGTCTCAGTAAAAGTCCTGTTAGGATGGAAGGTCTCTGTGACACTAATTAAAATGGCGGGATGAAAAGATTCAGAGTAGTCTCCTTTTTTTTTCTAACCTTGAAGGAGGCGAGCGATGGAGGGGATGGGGGGGGGGAGAGAGAGTCTCAGCTCCACTCATACGGGTGCCTTGCTCGTATTCACACCTTAATTGTGTCAGCGTTGGGAGCTATCTAATTATAACAGCTTATTTTCTCAGCTGCGGTGTGTATTAGAGGGGGACAGCCTCATTATAAAGGCATTGAAGACGCGGCATGAGTGAACTGCAGAAGCCTTTGTTGTGTTTTTGACAGAAGATAGCGGGTTTCAGGATTGACTTGCTCGCTTCCTTTTCAATTACAGACCACATAGTTTTCAAGTTAAGAGGTAAATGCCCCCTCCTTCTCCTCCTCCTCCTCCTCCTCCTCCTCCTCCTTCTTCTTCTTCTTCTGTCTCTTTTTCAACTCTGTGTTTCTTCCGTCCACTGCCTCCTCTTTTCGTCCTCCCCCGCCGCCTCCAGCTGTCATCCGCGTGGTAAATACTGCTCTTCAGATAACTGCCAGTTTACCTTTTGCTGATATTTAGTGTCTGTCAAGCCATCAATAATAATGACTCCCTGTTATGCTGATGGAGTCTCCAGAAGCCCCGTTTGACTGACAGGCACTTCACAGCAGTGATGCAAATGACTGCAGCTCAACCAAGTGTGATTTCCTTCATGATAATAAAGTTTCTCTAAAACCCTTTTTGTTTTGCTGACACTGTTGACAGCTGCTTCTACTCCCCTATTGATGCTGCTGATGAGCGTGTAAATATATAATGATGATTGCTAAATCAAGTATGTTTCCATTTCCTTATTAAAAATCAATTTATACAGAAAGGTGTTGAAGCGGTTCAAGGGTTTGCACATTGGATAAATTGTGACAAAAATCTGCAAATGCAACGAGCAAAATGTACTAAGGTGTCTTGCATGTTATTAGAAGTTTATTTTGATTTTTTGATTTTATTATTGTGTCACACATACATCCATATGCCCAGCCTGCATGGGTTTACATTATATACCATAAATCAAAAACGTTCCTGGATCAGAGTGCACTAGGTAAGCTATATTCATTCTCAAGAAACAAAAAGAGAAAGCAAGAAGTCAAACTAATGAAACAGAATATTCTGTCTTCTTTTCCAAGCTTTTGAATCAAAATTAACAAGTTTAAACACATCAAACTTAAACAGCCATTCCACTTTCTGCACATCTGTCCACCCCAATATTTCAGATTTTACTTCATGAAACAATAATTCTCATCAGAAATCATCATATTTTGTACAATGCAAAAGAATACGGGACTCCGTTTCAACTTCGTCCAACTCACACATCTCACAAAGTCTGTTTTCTACTGGAATATTTTTGAATCGACCAACTTCAATGGCCAGAAGTTTGTGCATGCCACTTTCAAGACACCTAACGAGCAATTTTAAGAAATGTCGACTTATTACAACTAATGCAGGCCGTATTTTTCACTTTTTATATCGTGAAGCGAGACGCTCACGTGGCCGTTTCAGAGGAATGTGTCCAAAAAGGATCTAAAGAGACACACATGTTGTTAGCCCCAAACCCACTTTTAGAAAAGTTGGCTCTGACAGAAAGCAAAACAAATTCCTGCCTCCCGTCATTCTGGCACATTTGACCACGGCGCTGTTTATTTTTTCTATCAACCCGGGGCACACCGATTCACAGATGTTAGCTGTGAGCTAGCTAGCAACAGACGTGGAAACCATGCGCCTATGGGGTGTGAACATTTGCATGCAAGATGTTTTTTTTAACTTTCCGCCCAGGTTGCCACATTTCAGGCTTTTTTTTCCCCTCCACTGCAACGTGATGTAGGAAAGTGCAAAGAAATGCACTTTAACTTGTGTGTAATGCATGTTATCCTGAGACCATTTTTGACCCATCTGCGTGGCTCAGAGCGACTGATCCAGACATCCAGCATGTGGAAAACCTGGTTACATAGCAGAGAGACTGGTAGAGTCTGCCTGGGGAGGCTGTTGGGGGTGATGGATGAGTCACAACACAAGAGTTAAGAGGAGACAGGAAGTTTGTTGTTGTTGAAGTTTTTTCTGCCTAAATCTCATCAAAGAGACTTTTTGGTGTGAATCTCATGTGAGGAGCTTAAAAAAGGAAATAGAAACCCTTAAATCAACTGTAGGTCGTACATATAGTCTGTATAAAACATGAACGTAGTCTGAGTGATGTCACTAATTGGTTTCTGAAGTGTTTTGAAGCCTGACGATGGCGGTCAGCATATTAGAAATGCTTCTTCCACCTGACTTTTCGATCAATCTTAAAAAACAGGCAAAGAGGCGGAGCTTAGCCTTAAACCTCCTGGCATATCAGACAAATCTGCCACGCCCAAGATTATGTAAATACTGTATATGGATAACTCTGAACAGTCATATAATCAAAAGTGACGAGTTAGAAAAAAAAAATCAACTCCTTACTGTTTTAGCAATTGAAGAAATTAGCTTTAGGCACCAAAAATGTTTTTGTACCACGCTGTGAAAGTGCTAATTTCTGCTTTAAAAATGGGAATCTGACATGGGGACCTATCAGATTCTTTGGCTTTTGCAGCCAGCCTCAAGTGGACACTCCAGGAATTGCTGTTCTTTGCACTCGAGCGGCAGTAGCTCAGTCTGTAGGGACTTGGGAGGGTCGTCAGTTCATGCGAAATTGGCCTGGAAGCTGGAGAGGTGCCGGTTCACTGCCGAGGTGGACAACCCTCTCACTCTGACATCTCTGCATCAGTACATGCCCATAGGATCCTGTTTGTGCATGTGTGTGTATTTCACCCTATGTGTGTGTGTGCAGCATGTCTCTGTAACAGAATGTAAAACTGAATTTCCCCTCGCAGGATTAATGAAAATTGACCCAAATCAAAAGTTCCTCACAGGATCTTTCAACTGGCTGTTATGTGGAAGAAGTAAAAACAGAAAGTTGAGATTTGTGACGACTCAGCTGGTTTCTTGTTTTGCTGGTTGGCTGTTTGTGTGTTTAAGGTGCCACTGGGTGTGGCTCCTGGGTCGTCGTGGATTGGGAGCACCTGGGCCCAGTGTTCCCAGCCCGTAAGAGCAGACCACACGTCTTCATTGTGGGAGAAGGAGACGGAGAGAGGCCGCTCCCCAATGCTCCTGAATGCACTTTCTCTCATGCATACACCCTTACATGACTGATGAACTGATTTCCACATTTCACAATGTTTGATTAATTAAGTTTGTTGTAAATAAATGTTTGAGATTTGTGACTCCTCGTCTCCTCTTGCTGTTTGTCACTGGCTTTGAGTCGGCCGTGATATGAGCGTTTTACCAGAAAAGGTGAAGCATGATACAGTAATGAAGTGTATCCTCACCTGAGATCTGACCGCTCACAAGAATCCCCAAAGTCGCAGCGAAACCAAAGGCCAAGTTGACGCTGAGGAACGTGCTGTGGGACCCTCGGCTTAGCACCAGCTGCGCAACGGAAGCACAACCAAACATCTGGACAGAAGGAGGAGGGGGGGGGACACAGGTTTTTATGAACCTTTTGAGATTAAGTCACAAACATTCGATCACCAGCAACACCCCTGAGTCGGGGGTTATTTTTTGTAGACTTACAGTGGCAGAAAAAGTTCAAAGAGAATAACAAAGCCCTGCGGAGGTTTGACCTGGAGTCAGGTGTCTCGCTGAGTCGTGCTTTTGCTCGTAGCCAGGGCGTGTCTCTTTGACCTCAGAGGTCACCAGCCTGCTACGTTTGGCCTTTGAGCGGGGGACTATTGATGCCGACAACAATCTGACTCCCCCTGCAGAGTCTACCTCTGCGGAGGTCCGGCCTCAGACCACCAAGGGGACCTGATTGTCTGCGGAGGGAAAAAGGTCTCCTGGAGTTAACAGATCAGTCACAGCCGGGGGAAACGGGAAACAACAACCGGTGCCCTCTGCTGATGTTGTTGTTGTCTGAGGGTTTCCATGAGAAGCAGAGCCACTCCAGGTTGTTTTGCACTGCCTGGAAAACATTTTGTTTTTACTGGGGAAAAAGATCTGGTGACCTCCTGTTGTGTTGAACTCGATGTCAGGAGGGACTCCAGGCACAGTGTGAAGTCTGAAGATATAAAATAATAGGGTTCTGTGAGAGTCATTTAAGTGCAAAAAGATGGAAAATAAGGGATAATTAACGGAGGAGTTCTTGTGAATTTAAAATTCATTCTTCACACCGGCACTTCTCCGACATCTATGGAAGCAGAATTTAATGAGCAGCACTTATCTTTCTAGAACTCCTTTACCTTTGAACAGCGTTTACAAACTAAACCATTTTTTGAACTGTTCTGTCACCAAACAGCTTCACTCTTGCTAAACACGAAGGGCAATCCCCTCCCCTTTTTCTTCAGCACGCAAACATGTTGGCGAGGATCAAGAACCCCCTGGGACACATTTGAAATGTTTTTTCCTCCATCGTCATGTCGAGCTTAAAGCTGCAGAAGGATTTTCAGGACATGATCTCCTTTCTTCACAGAGGATATTTAGCTATCCCGATCAGTTTCAACTTTTACATTTCTTCTTAACCTTTTATAGACATGATTTTCACTCGACACCTGTTTCTATCTCTGATGTGGTTTAAGATGTATCTGGCTTTGGTCCTATCATTGTTGAATTGTTGTTTTATGGAAAAAAACTTTGCACTGAATCGCTTTCATATCAAAAAGTGCAATACATGGGGTGCAGGTAGCATAGTGGTTAGTGCGTTCCATTGCACTAACCACTATGCTACAATGGAGGCTGTAGTCCTCCAAGCGGACAGCCAGGGGTCAAATCCGACCTGTGGCTCATTACCTGCATGTCATCCCCCCACTCTCCTCCTCTTCATGATTTCTGACTCTATCCATTGTCGTAACTCTACAATAACGGCACGAAAAGCCCAAAAAGTAAATCATGAAAAAAGGGGCAATACAAATAAAGTTTGATGTTTTTTTAATGGCACACATCTGATCGTGCTAAAAGCTAATGAAGTAAGATGATTTTTTTCTGCAGGATGTGTCCTGTCTTGCATTAAACAAAAACCCTGTTAGCTGCACTTTATATCATATTAAACTTTTTTCTTTTTGATTGGGTTGGCTAGGGCGCAGACTTATGCGGGAGTGGCGTGAAATTTGTGTGCGCAAACATCCAGATAAATAGCATTTTTGATGTGTTATCTCCGTATTTTAAAAAGTGACACAAAAGAGGAGCAACATACACGTCTTCTGAGCTTTGTTCTTAAGGTACTAAAAAAGGAGATGTGAGTCAAAATTTACAATTTAAAGAAGTTAAAAAACTTTCAAGCATCTGTCTTAATGTCAAAATAGATTCATTAGTACCATATTAGGACAGAAAAATAAATAAATTAGTTTCTTGTGCTGGAGTTTGCTCGCATTTTTTTTGGGTCCAACTTTTCTACAATTTAAATTACAGAAGAAAGTATCAGCAGCCTGTTGAACCACTGCCAAAATGTTTGATTTTAATGCAAGTCCCGCCTCTGACAACGGCTAACAGCCAATCCTCATTAAGGATTTTGAGGTGGCAACTGGGGTGGCCAAGTAGATTTCAAGTGGGGCCCATGCCACCCCTGGACAGCCCTCTAGACACACCCCTGCTATAGTGCCCTTTTTTAATGTTGCTCTGATATTTCTGTTTGAATAAGGAATCTGTTTTAAAGTGTGCTGAAAGAGTCAACATTGAGTAAATGTGTGTGGTTATTGCAGAATATATTTTTGCCATTTGCATGCATTTTATTCTATTAAGTACCCCTATATCCAAAATCAGAACTGCAGCATAAATTCCCATTCAAATTCTTCTAACTGAATGTTAGCAGACAATAATCAATCAATTTTTTTATTTTTATTTTATTTCACTAACTGAAGTTTTCCTCTGAGCATCATGCAGCAGGGTTTTCTTTACTCACCACCAGAATCAGAGTCCCGAGACATTCAGCCAGCGCCTGACGCAGGAGGACATGTCGGACCTGAAAGGCAGCCGCCAGTTTGGCCACGATGTGCTTCTGTTCTCCCATGATGCAGCTACTGGAGGATTGTGGTGAGGTCGAGTTTGAAGTCTAACAGCAAGTGTCTGTGTCTGTTTTCAGTGGCTGTGCTTTATAGGGGTCTCCCAGTCAACCCTCTCCTTAGCTAAATAAAAGGGGGGGCACCTTTGGATTCCCTGCCACTCCCAAAACATCGACACCCCTCTCTTCTTCACAGATGTTTTCCTGCTAGATTCTCAGCTCCGAGCTTAACCCTATAACCCAAACATAACAATAAAGCTGTTAGGCTGCACATCTACTGCAGAGGCTAATGAAAGTCACTTTTCAATGATATTAGCTTTTTACTTTTTTACCAAAATCTACTTAAAATCAGTGTCCGTCACAAACCAAAAAGGTTTAAATAAAGAGTGTAAATAATTGTGTGTATTTATCGAAGCAAATGAGCTCCACCTGTGCTACACATCATAATAAAGGTCCTTTTTTCTAAACTGAACCCTCTTGACAAGCCCCTTCAGAAAACCCACTCTGAGCTGTGGAGGCCTCTCCACATTAACGAGGAATGTATAAATAAGCAGGTAATCTGTGTGGTTCACACACAACACCCTCCGACACGAGCAGGAAAACAATCATAACCATGGTTACTGATGTGTGATGTGCTGGACGAGATGTGCAGCTAAATTAGAGACAAGTAGGTTCTAAACTGAGGGATTGAGAGCAATATACTCTTTTGTTAAGCCCCGCCCTCCTTGGTTACTGTTGCTAGGTTAGACGAAATCTCTTGTTGCCGGGGTTCCTTGCTTTGAAACGTTTGAAAGGAAGCTTAAAGGAGCAGTATGTAACTCTGACACCTAGTGTTTAAAATGGGTACTGCAGTCCAAATTTAAAACATCATAGAGAGCTGTCTCCCCCCCCTCCTCTCTAGAGTGGATGCTCACACAGGTCACCATGTGGTGGACTCTGAAGCTTCAGTGTTTATCCAGCTCTGCATGGGTCTGTAAACCTTTCTGTGTTCTAACCTCTCTCCATTTTTCAAAAGCATCTCCAATATTGATCCTAGTTTGAGCACGTTTCTGCTCGTGGAGCTTATTAGAAACATGCAGAGGCTTTTTAGGTCGGGTACAATCACTTCTATCTGAACCACTTCTCTTGCCCGCTTCCATCGCTGCAACACCTGTTGACCTGATAACTGCTCTCATATCTGGCAAACCGAGGGGCGTCCAAAACGGCCGTGTGGTGGGTGTCTTAAAAGCGCCTACCTTCTCTGATCCAGACAAATCCAGAGCATTCAGGAGCAGAATCTAAAGTTAGAAGGAGGACATACTGGCTGCTGCATTGTTTTTAGAGAAGCCAGCACTTCAACATAGCATGTTTCCTTAATGTCTGATCAGATAGTAAGATACCTTTATCATTTCAGTCTCTACACATCTCACTGATTGGTGCTTTAATTGTGCAGACCTTTAATAAAGGCTCAAACAGCCAATAATCTGGCCCTGTACATCATAGTTATCTGCTATTAAAAACTGGTCTGGTTGTGATGAGCGTTGAGTTTGACCTTGGTTCTCATTTGTTACGTTTTATTTAACACAATTAAAGTGTTGAACCTTGAGTTGTCAAAGTACCTCGTCTGTGTTAATCTGTGAAAATCGCACAAAGAGGTGTTTACTCAGAGATGCTTTCACCTTGCAGTAACATTCAACCATTCACCGGGGTAATTGTGTGTGTGTGTGTGTGTGTGTGTGTGTGTGTGTGTGTGTGGGTATCTTTATTCGAGCAGGCTAATGTGAGTGTTATCATCATCTCCGATTGCGGCGTAATTAAGACTTTCTTTCTGCTTTGCTCAGCGTATTATTGCGATGGGATTGGCTGGAGGAGACTCTGATGTTTTATCATCGAGGTCAGTTAAAATCACACTGACTTGCTGTTTTGGAAACATGCAGAATGAGACCCCCAAGATAACCCCAAATTAACACATTTATCTAAATACTGGTTTATCTGAAGATTATTAGACGATTACTGAACGTCTTGAGGATTGGAAAAATGTTCTGTCATAGGGATGCTGCCTTTATTTTGTGTGTATATAGACTGAACTTTCAACGTAAAAGGATTTGGATATTTTACTTCCACTTTTTCCATCTTAAAGGCACAGTACGTAGATTCTGCCACCAGGGGGCTCTCAAGGAATACAATCATGGGAGTTCTCTCCTTGCTCCTGCTTGTATTTTAATGGACTAAGATGCACATAACTGCTTTTGGCTCGCCAACGTCACGGCTGCGTCATTGAAAACGTGGTTGTTTATTAACATTTCTTCTCATATTTTTAATTAATCATCAAATTATTACCACCATTGTAATAAATAAAAGTAAAGTTTATCCAAGCAGTACATAGCTGACCTCTGCTAAACTGTCAGAGTGTGACATAAACAGCTCGGCGCCATGGCGATTAACGTTATAATTATAGAACGACACAACAAAAAGACATTGTATTCCTTGCCAACGCTTTTAATTGTCGATTTGTTTCAATTCGTTGTTGCAGCCTTAGTTAAATTTCAAGAATAGTTCAGAAATCATAGCAAGAAATGAAAAGTGCAAAAGTACGGTAGCCCTGGGTGGACATTTGATTCGACCATTATTCACTCAGTTTTCCTAAAAATGAGTCATGTCTGGGTGTTTGGCAACTTTTTTGTCTTTGTGTCCTGAGAAAAAAGAAAACTTGTTTTCTCGGGATAACGGGGGTAATTTCTTGGTGATAAAGAAAAGAAAACAATAGTCTGCTGTGATAGGCCAGACACAGGACATGTCATGCTGCCATTGCTCACACTGATGAGGTTTGTTAAGACTACTTCGATGTTTGTTTCGTGACTTTTTGCCGCTTTTGGGGGATGATGTCAACAACCACAACAAAAAAATGGAAAATGTAGTAAACAACCATGAAATGATTCATTATCAGGGGGGGAAACCGAGTAGACAAATTGTATGGATTCATATCCGCTTAGGGCTTCTGTACATATCCAAAGAAAAAATATTTTTCATCTTGAGCACACACCGGCTCACCCACAACAAAATCCACACACACACACACACACACACCTTGTTCCATCAGGACGACCTAACACACAGCGAGTCCCGACCAGCAGGCCTGTCACTTCCACTAAAGCACTTGGTTTGTTTCACTGACGCCCCATGCTTGCAAAATAAATTGATTCTCAAAATAAAATCACAGTGATGCTCACTCTTGTTACCTCCAGTGAGGCTCGCGTCGCACTGATTACAACGGTTTGTGTCTCCCGATATTGACCCAACACAACCTCAACGACAGCAGCCGGCCGCGGGGGCAGCTCTAATCTCCTCTTTGCACTTTAAAAATTAAACACACATACCTGATGATTTATATTTCATATTCCTGAGCTGGATTCATAATGCATTATGTTTGTGCTCCGTCCACAAAATCAAAGGTCGTATATTGTTCTGTGTAAAACAAAGTGTAATGCGTTTTCAGGGGGGCGAGGGGAGGGGGCGAGACAAAAAAGGTAGGAGACAAAGATGAATAGGTGTAAGCTTATTATTTACATTGATGTAATTATGCCTGGTGTTTCTCCAGTGCCTCCTCGGAATAAAATGAGCCTCTATTATCTGTGGATTGTATGAAAATTCACGGCTGTACGCTGGAGGTGCTCGGTGTGTGTGGACACAGTCGGGAGAGTGGCACACTGCATTAGCATAACATCAATGTCAAGCTTACATCCCTGGATCCAGCTAATCAGTATTCCTGCTGTCATATTAGTGTGGCACTCAGAATCTAAAACACACAGGTATCTGGTAATATCACCAATCAGCCGTGTCTATATATGCTGCAGTTACACTCCAGAGGAATTCATAAAAACAAAAAATGGGGAGAATGAAACTGTGCTGCCCACAGGTTTTAAATTATAGACGAGCCGAGGCTGGAGAAGGTGATGTACTGTAATGAGAGCACATTATCTCTTATTTTAGAGAGAGGAGGACAATGGTTATGCATCTTTTAGAGCCGGGGTTGTCAAACTTTTTCCAATAAGGCTTCAACCCATTTGAGTTATTTTTTTAAAGTACCACCCAACCGGTGCAAAAGTATTTTTAGTAGAAACAAAAAGCCTGCATGAAGAGGAACAATTCAGCTGCTGCGGCATGACTCTCAGGTTGTAAGGCCATGTGACAAACTTTAGTTCAGTTTGTTGGTTTGTTTGTTTGAAAGGGGCCATGAACAACAAGACTGCTGGGCCAGAGTTAGCTGTGTTGCTAAGCGCCAGGTATACACTGTATGAATTGAGAGACAACATCAGGTGTTAAAAATGAAGCCTATGAAGAAGTGATAAAAACACTGCAGTTCCTGGAGTGTCCACTTGAGGCTCGGTGCAAAAGCCCCTCAGTCACATACACACCCATTCAAAAATTCAATTTTTTGTAGCCTAAGATAAGAGGTGTAAGCCCTTTTCAGACAGCTTTTTTTGCAGAAGTGCAGTAACTAAGATCAGCCATTATTACGTCTTTTCACATTCATATTGATTCCACAGCGGTGTGATATTGGTGATACACGCACACGGTTTCAGTTAGACATCGGCTGAATATCACATTCAGACGATGTCTAAATTAAACTGTGTGCGTCTGATCTTGGCAAGATAGGAGTTTTCAAACAAATAAAAAAAACAACTAAATTCAGTCATCTCAAGTTAAAGGAAGAATGTTCTACTTTTTGATCCAGTAGATGTCGCCCTTGAGCACCAGCATGAAACCAAAACAAACTGCTGTTAGGCCACACCTCCTCCATACTGAAGCCTCTGCTCTCCTCCAGAGACACACCTCCAACCCCCCTCACACGGCTCTGACAACAACACAGCCAGCAGGACTCGAGCTTCTCCTCACTGTAGACAGTCATGACTCAGAGACACATTCACTCAGGATAGACTTTATGATTTATTTATGTGGAACATGTCACACATTCTTCCTTTGAACAAAAACACAGTCTTCACGCTGACAACAAAATTGTGAGGAACAAA